CTGTCTGTGTGTGCCTGTGCGCGCGCACGTGTCTGTCTGTCTGTGTGTGTCTGTGCGCGCGCACGTGTCTGTCTGTCTGTGTGTGTCTGTGTCTGTGTCTGTGTCTGTGTGTACGGTGTCCTCATTTTGTAAACTCTTCGAGCTTTGGCCCGATTGGTCAAGCACAGCCCCAACACAATAAGGCCATTGTACAGTAACAGGTTTTCAGCAGATTGCATTGTTGAGGGGTTGCTCAGGTACACGCAAATCACAGTCTTCAGACATAAAGACAGAATTTTTACAGCTGTTTGCTCGCAACAGTCCATGACGGTGTTAATGCTCCCTACAAGTCTCCTGCTTTCCTTTGACCCAACGGCATCTATGTCTATTCCTTTCCCTCCCTCCCTATCTCTTTCCTCTTGCCACAACCACTCCCTGTGATTTGAGACTGTACCCCAACTGAGCCAAGTCTCGGCCCTAGCAGTGCATATTTTATTTTGTGAGTTGTACATTCCTCATCCAGAAGGTCCTTCGTTTGGCCATCATCCCAACCCCCAGTTTCAGAACTCAACCAAGGTGCCTCATAAAAGTGAGGGCAGAACATCAGAGTGATGATTCTTATCCAAAAAAAATTGTTCTGAGAGGAAAAAGGCTGAAGTCTGAGGTAATTTCTTGAGATAAAAACAGAAAATGTTGGAAATATTCAGCAGGTCTGCCAGCATCTATGGAGACAGGAACATCGCTTCCATATGCAAATGCAGCAGGATCTGGACAATATCCTGGCTTAGCCTGAAAAGTGCCAAGTAACATTCATGCCACAAAAAATACCAGGCAATGACCATCTCTAACCAGAAAGAATTGAACCCACTCACTTAGACATTCAATGGTGTTACCATCAGTAAATCCCCCCATTATTAACATTCTGAGGATTACTGTTGAACAGAAACCCTTCTGGACTCACCATACAAGTACAGAGACTACAGTAGAACACCAGAGGCTAGGAACACTGCAGTGAGTAACTGCCCAAAGTCTGTCCCACCATCTACAAGGCACAAGTCCGGAGTGTGATGGAATACTCCCCACTTGCCTGGATGGGTGCAGCCCCAATAACACTCAAGAAGCCTGACCCCATCCAGGGCAAAGCAGCCCACTTAATTGGCACCACATCCACAAGCATCCACTGCCTCTGCCAACCACGCTCGGTAGCAACAGTGTGTACTATCGACAAGAAGCACTGCAGAAATTCACCAAAGATCCTTAGACAGCACCTTCCAATGCCACTGCCACTTCTAATTAGTAGGGCAAGGGCAGCAGATACATGGGAACACCACTGCCTCCCCTCCAAGCCACTCACCATCCTCACTTGGAAATATATCACCGTTCCTTCTCTATCACTGGATCAAAATCCTGAAAATTCCCCAATGGCATTGTGGATGTAACTACAGCAGGTGGGCTGCAGTGATTCAAGAAGGCAGCTCACCATCACCTTCTCAAGGGCAACTGGGGACAGGCAATAAATGCTGATCCAGCTAGCAGTGCCCACATCCCATGAATGAATAAGAAGTTAACATTTCTAATCCAATGTGACTTCTTCAAATCTGGACAAATATCCTGGGATTTGATGGTGGCTCATGTTGAGATGAGGAGATGGTAGGTGAAGATATGAGTCACTTTGATGATCAGCAACAATGTAAATACGCTACGCACTCAGTTTCCTGCAATACTCCTCTCTCGGTGTTTAATTTCCATCGATTGGAATTGAACTGGAGATTGTGTAGTCTACGCTGCTGGACAAAGTCAGTGATGCCTGCACTCTGTGAGGGTTACATGCTGGAAATCAGAGTACATTTTACCTCTGCCATTCTGGTACAGATGCTGTTGGGGATGCACAGATGAGATGTTCCTAAAACACTTCTGTCCACCACACAGAGATCGAGAGCGCTATTGAGAGGACTCATCACCTCCAGCAGATCATCGTGACCCTCTCACGGACAGTCATTATCGTGATGAGATATCTTTTTGCCTTCCTCAACCAGTAAGTATCCAGCTTCCCACCAACTGTTGCACCTCCCACTCTCCCTGCCTATCCCTCCCTGGGCTTTGTTTTTAAAACCACTTGGAATCCCAGCAAACATTCCCGCTCTGCCATCCTGTTTGGTGTATGCGAGCCACACACCCAACACCCCCTCACCCACCGCGCACCCACCAACTGAGGATTGATGAGCAGGACTGAGGGGTCTGGTGGGAGCATTGTGAAGGCAGAGTTGGTCACGGATTGGAGTGTCTGCATGTGCAGGGGAATCGAGGGTAATCAGTACAGTAAAAGGTGCAGTGAGGATGGGAGAGCAGGGGTAAAGGGCTTGGTGCTTGTGGAGTCGGTAAAGGGCGCATTGTGGTGAGGGATTGGGTAAAGGGCGTGGTGTGGGTGGTATGGGTCAGGGATATGGTGCACGGTACAGGTGAGGGGCGTCAGGGTTAAAGAGTGCATTGCGGGTGTGAGAGAGTCGGGAGAAGGGCACAGTGTGTGTGAGGGGTGTAGGGGGTAAAGGGTGCAGTGAAGGTAAGGGGAGTCCAGGTTAAAGGGCACAATGAGGGTATGGGGCAGTCAGGGGAAAAGGGCACGGTGAGGGTTGGGGGGGCATGTGCCTGGAGTAAAGGGTGCGGTGAGGGTGGGGGGCAAGTGCCTGGGGTAAAGGGTGCAGTGAGGGTTGGGGGGGTGTGTCTGGGGTAAAGGGCGCGGTGAGGGTT